AATGTGTCACCACCACCCATCTCCTGAAACTTTTATATCATCCCAAACTGAATCCTCATTCTTATTTATAGCCACCTCATATTCCATTGTACACATGTACATATTTTACAGAAGCAGCCCATATTGGTGAACATGTAGATTGTTACAGTCTTTTGCTATTACAGTGCTATGGTGAATAATCATATGTATACATGTATACACACATACTTTATTTTGCTTCTGTGAGTGATGGTGTCTGTGGCATAAGTTCCCTAAGGCCAAAGCACATTTCTCATTTTGATAAATATTCTATTGCCTTCCATGAAAATTATAAGCCTTTCCTCCCACACTCTGGGCAACATAGTATATTATCACATTTCATGATCTTTGCCAATCTGGGTGAAAAATGATTATCTTACTCTAGTTCACATATTTTACATTTCGTTTATTGAATGAAGGTAAGCATCTTCTCAAGTGTGCAGTACCGTTTGTATTTCCTTTTCTGTGAATTGTTTTCATATCCTTTGTCTAATTTTCTACTGGGTTGGTTGGTCTTTTCTAATAGGGATTTTAAGATTTCATCATGGAAATGTTCAAATACGCACAAAAATTGAGCGGTATGTGCTCATCCTCCAGCCGCAACTACTAATGGCCTCCATGCCCACTCATTCTCCCCTACTCCAGATTATTTTAAAGCAAATTCCTGATAACATTTTGTTTGTAAATGTTTCTGTATCTGTATTCTGTTTCAGTACCTCTAAGACATAATGACCCTTTGCTTTAAGTTGGGCGGGAAAATACAGTTTTCACACCTGAAACAGTGAACAAAAGAAGGAGGTGGTTTTTGTGTTTTGGGTTTTTTTTTTTGCTGTGTGTTCATAGACTGGGTTGGCTGGTAGCTCTGCTTCAATGCCCTACTCACAGCTGACGGTCCCCCAGCTCATCATTTGTGGCCACACTGAAACAGCCCAGTCCCCTGGGTCTTGCAGACACCTGCTCTGTGGTTTTGTCATTGTGGGGCCATCGCTTCATTTGTGCTCTTAGAGTCAGCCAACACATGGCAGAGCCTCTGTGATGTCAGATGCAAGCCTTATACATCTATTAATTCATTTCAGTGTGGCAGAAGCTTGAACTACGGTTAGCATCATTGTCTTCTCCACTTTGTAGCTGAGGATACTGCAGCTCAGAGAGGTAAAGGTGACTGGCACAAGGTCTCACTCAGGGATTTCAGCCCAGCTCTCCTGGCTCCCATCTCACTGTGTCAGGGCTGCCTTGATTAGTTGCTGCAAATGCCACCCTCAGCCCAGCCTCTGCAGCCTGCTGATAGCTGAGGATACTGCAGCTCAGAGAGGTAAAGGTGACTGGCACAAGGTCTCACTCAGGGATTTCAGCCCAGCTCTCCTGGCTCCCATCTCACTGTGTCAGGGCTGCCTTGATTAGTTGCTGCAAATGCCACCCTCAGCCCAGCCTCTGCAGCCTGCTGCTGCCTTACACATCTGTACTTCCCTCTTCCCTTTTAGGTGTGTTCCGGGGTGGTCATGACATCTTGGTGCGCTCCCGGCTGCTACTTTTGGACACTGTAACCATGCAGGTGACGGCCAGAAGTTCGGAGGAGCTGCCAGTAGACATTGTGTTGGCATCTGTGGGCTAAGAGGCGCCCCCACTCCTACCCTTTCCCCCCAACACTACGCAGAAATCACACCTTCTGAACCCAGTAGAAACTTCTTCCCAAGCCTCTGTATCAAGAAATAATAGGAATGACTGAGGATTTTTCTTTCCTTCTTTTTTTAATTTAACCCCTGCCCCAGGACTACTGGGGGATAACATTTTTTTAGCTTGTCATGGAACTTTGCTGACCTACCTACTAGAGAAGGGACATTGCAAATAAAGCGCTTGCACCTCCTCTTGAATTTATCCCCAAAGAAACCATCTTATCCCAATGAATAAATAAGCATGTATTTTATTGAATGACTGCTACTTCTGCAGACTCATGCTTCCAGGTTTCACCTTCCCCTTGGAAGCCTCCCCACGACCAAAATGAAGAACACCTGCTGTATCTCCTCTGCACCCACAGCCCTTTGCTGTACTGAAAGTGAGGTGGGACCCTTCCCCACTCCCCTGCGTCCAAGCTCCATGCCCAGGAACAGGAGCAGGGCAGGCTTGCCCAGAGAATGACGGCAGGCATTGAGGTTCTGCGCCTGTTCTGACATTCTTACAGCAACCCTCCATTTCTAGGTGATGACCAGAGCCCCCAGAGGGTTTGGGTCAATTAGCTAGGTGTTCCCTGGCATCGAGTCTGAGCTGTGCCCTAGAGTTGGGTGCTCCCTGTTCAGCCCAGTTAAGTGCATGCACAGAGGGGAAGAACAGCCCTTAGCCGACCCTGTTGGCTGCAGATGCAGAAATCCCTGGTTAGTGTCCTAAGGGAGCAGGCCCAGCAGCCACCTCAGCAGCTCTTTTCAACTCAGGCCAGGTGGTTTGACCATCTTTGTGGCTGAAATACACCGGTGAAGCTGTTCTTAAAAGTCTGCGCCTCACTCTCAGAGATTCAGATTTGGGGGTTGGGGGAAAGTGAGGGCCTGGAAAGCCTCATCCTGGCTCCCAGCTGAAGTTTGAAAGGGACTTGTGTGATTCGTGGACGTGATGGTTTCTCAATTTTTGTCCTAAACTCAGCGACACTGAGACGAGAATGTTTCCTGAGATCACCCTTACGACTTGGCACCTAGTTACGTTCCCGCTGTATAGAGAAAGGTACTTCAGGCACCTGGGACGCATCTAGGGCCCTGCCGCCCGGCGAGCCTGGTCCTGAGACCCGGGAGTGGGGTTGGAGCTAACCCCGCAGGCGGAAGTGCGGATACAAAGGGAAGTGGGGCTTCCAGAGCCTCTGGACCGGGGAGTCCGCAGAGGCAATCATAGTCTCCCGGGGCACTTCGGTAAGATTCAGGTTTTGGCCACCGCACCTCATTACTGTGGGGTGTGAGCGACGCAGCTCCGACAGCTTGGGGGCGCAGCCAGGCCCCTAGGGGTGGGGCTGACCGCTGTGGGGGCGGGGCCTGACGGCCCGCCGAATCCGAGGGCCTGGTACGAGGAGAGTTTACGGGCCGCGCGGCGGAAGCGCAGGTGGGGCTGGGAGAGCGGCGGTGCTGAGGCGACGCGGGTTGGGCTGCCGGGGTGAGGCGGGGTGAGGCCGGGGCCGTGCGGGGGCGAGCGGCGCGGGGCGGGCGGCGGGGGCCGAGGTGAGGCGCCCGCGGCGGCTGTCGTGACCGGCTGAGGGCGTGGGTGGCGCCGGGAGCCGCGCGGCACCGGGAAGAGGCCGAGTTCCAACACCCGGAGCGGGCGCCGTGGGGGCCGCCCTTGAGCGGCAGGTGCTCGCGGGTGTGTGGCCCTAATTAGTCCCGGGAGGAGAGCGGAGGAGAAGGAGGGAGGACAGAGGCCCCCAGAGGAAGGAGCGTGTAGCCCCAGACGGGACCACAGATCCCCCCCTTCGGCCGTCCTGGGCCGAAACTCTAAGCTGAAGACACTGACCTTCAGGGAAATCTTATTGCAGGCAGTATGTATGGAGCGGCTCCTCATACTTGATTCAGAAATAAATAGGAGTCTTGCCTGGAGCTAGACAGTGGGCCTAGGTGGTGGGCAGAACAGGCATGGACTTGTTTTCCTGGGGGGGGGGGGGCACTTCAGACGTGGTTACACAGAGCCACAGCTGGTGCTCCGAAGGAGTCGAGTCCAGTGGCAATCTCGAGAATGCATGAGACCTAATATTTTGTGATCCGAAGGTGGTGCGAGGCGGCGCCGAAGATGTGTGGGAGAACATCCTGCCACTTACCTAGAGATGTTCTCACACGAGCTTGTGCCTATCACGACGGGCAGGGCCAGCAGCGGCTCCCCGAGTGGAAGGACCCTGACAAGTATTGCCCGTCTTACAACAAGAGCCCTCAATCAAATAGCCCAGTGCTTCTGTCTCGAATGCACTTTGAGAAGGTAACCACTTTATCCGCACCATTCTAGTTCCCGCGCGTAGTAGTGATGGTCATCTGTTTCTGGGGTTGGTATGATCTTCTCAGCCACTGAGGTGACATTAACTCTTTACTGACATATTCAGACCCGACCCCCAGCTGAGAACCACTCTGGGCCTCCCTGAAAGGAGAAGTTTTATCAGTATATTCTAATCTTAGATGATGATTCAGTGTTCTTCAGGCTCCTTTTAAGTGCTTTCCATATACAGGACATATTCGTCTCGACTCAAGCATGCCAAATTTATATGTGCCTTGTATTTGAATACATTTTTTTAAGATAGCATCTTTCAAACCTCACCAAACACCAGGGTTATTTAAGTATCTTTAGAAAAAAAGATTTCCGTGGTTCTTACCAGTCCAGCTGAATCAGAATCTCTATAGGCCTAGGGCAGGATTAAACCTAGTTAACCTAAAACACCTCTGATGTTTCTTGAACACGAAAGTTTCTACTCTTTCTGCTTGTGTTTTCAATCTTCTTGTTTGTCTTTTACTAAAACAAGAAACAGATGTGTTTGGTTTGGTTTTCAAGTTTAATTGCATTAATTGTATTTATAGTATTTACCTGTGTAGTGTTAGAGTGACCAGTAATTTATAGTCATCTTTTGGTCCTTTGCTTTCCCTCCTGAGAGTTCGTGTGGATTCATGTGCAGTGTAATAAAGTGCTTTATTCCAGAGTTAATAGTTTTTCTATGTCTTAAGTATTTTCAATGCCCTTAATGTTTTTCTAAAATTATGACTGTTTACATCCTGGATTTTTCTTCTGTTTGATCCACAATGCTTAAATCATTTTATGAAGTTAACTATACCCCTGCTACATACTCTCCAGTACTCTTGTGATAATATGGTAGTCACAAGACTCATTTTTACATTATTTGAAATGAACATATACCAAATAACTTGATCTTTCTGGTGGAATGAAGCCATTTTCATGAAATAGTTTATTCTTGAGCTATTTTTAGTGGGTGCATACTTCCCTGTTGAAACAAAAAACTGTGTTTAGTGAGAAGGAAATCAAAATGAAATAAGTATCAGAGAGAGTCTTGACTGGTAAAGGAAAAAGATAAAACATTTCATAAGGAAGGCATAATCGGAAGTAGAAAGAAAAGAATTAAGTGTATGATCCTTATTCTTTTTTGGCCTTGGTTCTCTTTGTACCACCTCTTTAGAATTATAGAATGAATGTTAGCTGGAAGAAAAATTTGTTTAACAGACGTAAAGACATAAGTGTAGAGAGATTGTGACTTGTCCTAGGTTACCTAGTTAGTGAGAGACAGAGCTGGGACTAAGGTCCAGACCACTGTCCCCGTTCCAGGGATGCTTCCTGGAACTAGGAATGGGAAAGATGGAGCCCCTAGGAAAGTGGTAGCCTTCTTTTTCCGGAAGTGGTATGAATTTGCTGATAAATGTTTTGACTCCACATCCCTAACAAATTCTGTTAAGATTGCTAGGATTTCCTGATTCTGATAAGTACTTGAGGTTTCATTTTTCTCAAACCTGTAAATTGTGAAACAAAATTAGAATCCTTGCAGCAGTTCCTTAATCCATATCATCAACAGCCAACACATGCGTATAGATTGCAGCATTTGCATTTGAAACCACTGATTTGCAAATTACTTCCTCTTTAATTTATCTACCCCAGTGCCATCAGCTGGTTTGGTCACAGGTCCAAAAGGGCAGAGGAAACAATGACTAATACTGAGCAAAATTTTCAGTATATGGGCTCCTCAGCCACTTTCTATTCATCATTCCCAGTAGGGGGCAACCACAGGCTTACCTCTGGTTTACAGTTACCCAGAAAACACACTCAAGCTGAAGGTGATCAGTGGAATTTGGAAGTACCATCTATGTTGGTACTATGGACATTTGGGTGAGACAGTTCTTTGTTGTGGAAGCTGTCCTGTGCAGTGTATGGTGTTTAATGGCATCGTTGGTACTACTAGGTACCAGTAGTACACCCCTTCCTTCTCCCACCATGTTTTGGGGGTGGAGTGGGGGATATAGGTATCAGAATTGCCCCATGCTGAGAAACCCAAATTTAGAAGATTTTTATCTTGCAGATGTCTGAGGAGAGACCATTGAGCTGGCCATTACCAGTCTTACTCATTTATGCTTTGGACAATGAGACTCTTCTGCTTGGAAGGCACATTTAATTCTTGGAGAAGATTTACAAAAACTGTTTTCATACATTCTTTTTCTTCCTTTTATCTAGATGAGATTAACCCTTGGATTTACATTCTCTACCCTACCATTCCTTCTATGGTAGTCTTCCTTAGTCATCCTACACACACATTAATTGCTTTTTTCTTGTATCTTGGTATACCATATACCTTAGCTGCCTCTGTCTCTAAGGGGGAACATACACAGACACACACATGAGTTTATCCTCATTATTTATAGAATCCATGTTTGCAAATTTGCCTACCTGTAGAATTTATTTGTAACCCCAAAAGTAATACACATGTCACTTTTGCAGTAGTCATTCATGGACATATAGAGTGGTGGAAATTTTGAGTCACCTGATGTACGCATTCCCAGCTGAGGCTGATTAAGGCAAAACTACCTTCGTTTTAGCACTTTTACTATACACAAGTGTCCTTTTTGCAGTTGATTTAGTGGTTTTTTACATTTCTGTGCCTTTTTGTGGCGATGTCACTGTTTAAAATGCCCCCAAGCAGAGTGCTAAAGTGCTGTCTAGTATTCCTAAGTACAAGAAGATTGTAATATTCTTTATAGAGAAAATACATGTGTTAGATAAACTTCATTCAGGCATGAGTTACAATGTTGTAGGGTGTGTACTCAACAACAATAATATAGACTAAAGAGTCTTTAAACAGAAATATGCAGAAAACAAGCTTATGTATTGATCAGTTGGTGAAAATGTCTTCATAGGTTTGTGGAACCCTAATCATGTATTTCCCCCAAGAGTGACTCAGTATTCACTAATTCAGTGTTCCCAGTGACTTTGTTGAACCAAACTGCTGTGAATAACGAGAGTGGATTTTTTTTTTTGTGTATGTGTGTCTGTGTGTGTGTGAGAGAGAGAGAGAGAGAGAGGGATTAATTTACACAAGCAAGATTTTGGAAACCACTACAGATGATTCCTTTCCTGGAATTTCATCTTCCTGGCCATTTTCATTGTGCTTTGTCTCTCTGAGTGCTTTTCTTGGACTCTATACCCTTGTTTCTCCCTTTTTCTTTTTGAACACCCCAGGTTAAATCCTGTGCTTGTTACTCTCTAAGAAACTTTTTTCTCATGGCTTTAACAGTCTCCATTATATAGAACATTTTACATTTGGTTTTAATCGTAACTTTAGGAAATAATCAAACTGTAATTTATGTCTCTATCCATGCTATGTATTTTTTTTTGGTATCAATCTACAATTACATGAAGAACATTATGTTTACTCGGCTCCCCCCTTCACC